AAAACTCATATGATTAGTGGAAGTGATGATGGTACAATATGTATTTGGAGAACAAAAGATTGGGAATGTTTAAAAATTTTAAAAGGTCATAAAGGGCGTGTTAATTCTGTGGATATTCATCCATCAGGTAAAATAGCATTATCTGTGTCAAGTGATAAAACTGTACGATTATGGAACTTCTTAACTGGGAGAAAAGCTGCTGCTAATAAATTAGGAAGAGGTAACCTTTTCATGTCTTTTAAAAAATTTTTTTTTTTATTCAAATTTCTCAAGATTTTGAAACATTCTAATTTACTTGTTCATATTAGAGGGAGAAATAGTATTATGGAGTCCATCAGGTGATCATTACGCCGTTTTAATGGGTCAAGAAATAAAAATATATAACACTATAGTAAGATTTCTTCAATTAATTATTTATATTAACATATTTTATAAATACTAATTTTCATTCTTATTTCACAAATAATAAGGATGGACAAGTTACACAAAATTTTCAACTTAAAAGCTCTCGCTATCTTTGCATACGATATTTCGCTCATGAAACATTGGGCGATTTGTTAATTGCAGGTAGTGAAGATAAAATTGTGAGAGTGTATAATGTTAAAAATGGTGATTGTATTGCAACTTATATGGGTCACAAAAACCGGTAAATAACATTTTCAAAAATTATACGAATCTATTTTTTGTAGATATTTTATTCTAACTCTTATTATTTATTATTTAGTATTAAAGATATTTCCATAATTAGTTCAATGCCACCAACGTATTCTACACCTGTATCCCTTCTAACATCCATTTCATCTGATGGAGTAATTAATGTATGGATCTTAGATGAGATATGGTCAAACAAAGAACAAACACCAAATGTTACAATTACTACACCCTTAGCATCTTACGATACTAAGAGCAGGCTAACTTGTATTGCATTATCACAAACATTTAATGACTAAGAAAAAGATTGATGCCTGTACAAAGATTCTATTATATAAATGAATATTTAAAGTGAGTGTTTGCTATGAAAAAATTATAGAATCATTGAACATAGAAGTAGCATGCATAAAAAAAAAAATCCTATATTGATATCAATATATTGCAGATTATATCAGATATGAACCAATTATAAATTTTTGGTTTACTGCAACAATGTCTATTTTACAAGTTTTATTGTAATTGTCAATTTAAACAATTCCTTTTAATACAATTTTGTCCTAACACTAAACTATTCATAATTTGGATACCCATGATTCTTTGATAAGAACAAAAAACATTTAAAATTGTTATTATAATCGCACGATAACTCCTATCAGTGCATTATTGCGAGCATCTCGATGCGTCGTTTCATACGTTTTATTCTAAAAGACAAATTTTATGAATCAGCTTATGAACGTTATACAATAATGTTACTTTGAATTTGGTTCTCATGATTAATGTATCAAAAGGTTCATATATTCAATCACAATTTGTTATTTAAAATGTTATTTAAAATGTAATATAAAAAATAAATGCAAATTAGAATGAAACTTCTAATCAACTGTAATGTGAAAGATAGAATAATCACCTAAACTTATAATATACGTATCGGTATGTCAGTCATTTGAACTAAAGTTGCAATCAAAAAACTTGCAAGTTTAGGATCTTAAATATATAGCATTTAATAAGGCTTGTAATATACAGATATATTAAATTTGCCGTAATGTCACACTTTTGTCAATTAACTTGCTTTACGGATAATAATCCCCAAAAGTTTACATATAAAAATTGTTTGGGGCTCATCCATATAAGATAATAGACTACTCAAGTCGAAAACAAAAAAGGCTTTCTTGTTAATACATATATGAATTTAGTCCGAATTCTTTTATTTTAGATTTAGGCTTGCTGCAGTGGTTACGAAAATTAGGTAGCTTGGTCCTTATCAGTGATTTGAACCCAAGCTATTCTGTTTAACATAACAGGGTGGTATTAGTTAAAAACCAATGCTGCAATTTTATTGGCTAATTCAATATGTACTGGCTTATATAATATAATATGTGTATTGGTTCCGAAAAATTAAGGGGGTGGGGGTTATGTTAAACAAAATCAAATTGGTCGGACCTAATTAAAGTTATTTTACTTTTGTATATACAGAAATACATTTTTTAGATAGATGTATAGGGATCGAATTTTGTATAATTTCGATATCTTTAGCAGGAGAGCTTTTTTTATACATTTATATTACAGAGCTTACTAGAGATTTTATGTTTTTACGCATAAATAACCATAACGATAACTATTACGATGGAGTGAAATTCTAGCCAAACCCGTTATGCAGAAAGCACGGCGAGGTGAAATCCGCGTAAACATATATATATATAAAAAAAAGCACTATAGCAAATTTCACTCTAACGTGACAATCAACCTGACCTGGTCTAATTGACAATTTTATACTATAGTTTCAAACAATTAATTTACTAAGTTCGAAACTGCGGATTATAGTAATTCATTAATCAATTAAAGATTAAAAAAAAGTATTGATTTTTACTAAGAGGGAAACCTGATCGAAAAATTTATTATTTGCAATTCTAATCTTTATTTTTTCATATGAAAAGCTTATATTTTTATAACTCACTCTTCACCTATCGCTATTGTGTGCCTATTCGATATAACTATTAAATCTACAGTAACATATCACTTTTATTCAACAAACCTGTCTATTCGCTAAATTACTCATGGCTTTTAATCTGAAAATGAAAATAATGAAGTTTTAATAATTTATAGCATTGATTTGTAATTTTTGAGTTTG